TCTGTCGAATATAAGTGAGTTTACTGATGCTTCAATAGGAGTCTCTCTTAACGATTATGATAAAATTGGCTCTAATTGCCTGAAGAATGCACTTGCAACGTTTTGCAACGATGGAAATCCTTGTGTCATTTCGTTTTCATTAAATCACCATCAACTTTTTGACCGGTAAAAAGAAATTGATAATTTCAATTTTGAATGCAAGGCTGTTTAACCAAATTATAATTAGATTTGATTTGAACAGTTTTAAATCTGCGGAAAATTGCTCTGATATTTTCACTAACAATTAATATAATTAAAATGAAATAATGTGATACCTTTTTCCAATTAACCTGATAGAAAATTCGCATCATACTTTGTAGACGTTGTCAGGTTACCAGTACTAGTGTTAAATATGTATTTATAAGTTAAAAAAACATATTGCAAAACTTATTCTTTTCTTCTTATTATTTCGTTCTTACCTTGGACACATTCCATGTGTCAAATAGATAAAGCCAAATTTTCGTATATCAGTAAGTAAATTTGATTATTAAAACGGGGGTAAACCACCGGAATGTTGAAATAAAAAGTAATTTTATTGCCAACCATAATGTCCACGAAAGAACTTGATGATTAGTTTTAAAACAAAATTATCCAATAATATAAAAGCAGATATATAATTGCAAACAATTATAATCGATTAGTTCGCAGACTATTGGTCGAGTTCATTGTTGAAAGTAATACCAGAACCAGAAACAATATTATGAGTCACCTTGCTGGAACTGATCTCGATTAGTCCTCAGGTCCAACTAACCGTTCTACATTTGCTATCATTTTTTTATCGGCGTTTTTACGTTAATTAATTGCACTGTTTTCACCGACAACAACAAGCAAGGCAATACATTTTTCAATACCACTGTGTGGAAATAAAATAACCTTCGGCATGTACCGTCTTGTAAAGAAACGCGTCCGTTATGAATAGTTTATTTCAATATTGTTATGTTCAAATGAAATATATTGATCACATAGTCCAGTTCAAATCAATGTCAATTAGGAGACGAATTATTTTTTAATTTTAAACATTTTCTTTTACATAACTTTAAATTCGTTTTACTAGTGCTAATTACACATCATTTGGTGTGTCAACCGAGCTAGCAGGTTCAAATGGTAACATACGCATTTCTTAGCAAATTTAAGCCTTGCAATTGGGATAATTATCCTTTCAAGCCTCCGGAGTAAAAATAAAAAGCATATTTTTCACAAAAAGCAGCATACATGTAAATGCCATTTACTCTAAAACTCTAGAGAATTGTGGACAGACACTAGGCAAAAAACATTCCATTTATGCCAAGAAAATCGATCGAAAACCAGCGCTAAATGCATAAAAAAATACTATTGGATATTTCAATGGATACCTACTAGTAAGAATTCCTTGATTTCTAGTTTTTCAAAAATATTTTTAAATTTACCGGAATGCCTTTAAGAATAAGTATTATTAACAGCAGTAATTGGATTGGCCGGTGTGTATAAGCTGCTTGGCCTCTTCGATGAGCAGATATCGATCGTCTCGATTTTATCTCGGATAAAGGTAATCGTTCACAAAGAAATGCTTGCTAAAGACCACTTGAGCAGGCATATAGTTTATCACTCTATTTTATTTATTTGAAACTCATATATCTTCGAGAATCAATACCTACAGGTTAGAATAATGCCCCTACATAATATAAAAATTGTCCTTCAATCGCATAGTTTCGGAGATAAAGGGGTGATTTTTTTGCTTGATATTATTTCATAAGTTTTGAACCACTCATCCGATTGAAGTGAAATTCGGTATGCAAAATCGTACGCTTTTGCAATATGAAGTACATACACGGTCTCAAAGTCAGGTAAGTAGACAAATTGAAACACTGAAATCTGCATCTAAACATAACGTGAGTTTTGTAATTAAACATGTAGCGAAAAATGTCCCTTAACGGACAGTACATACACCTTCTTAAAAGTGGCATATTGAGAAAGATTTTTCCACAAAATATATCTAARCAATTGAACCTGAAAACGACGACCTTTYGTTATTTCATTCYYTCGCATTTTTCTGTCTGTTTAGAGAGGTGGAAGGTGGAAGTCYAAAATCACYWTTAACACTCCTGTACGTTATTGTTTYACTGTATTTTCTACAAGGAAATTGTTGTAKGTAAAAGTTAATAAACACATGAAATTTTCTACTAAACAAGATGCCCTAAATTTGCRTCAGTCAAATGCACGCTTTCCAAGACAAATACGTGCGTAAATATAGAAATTTCTCAAAAGGCTCAACAGACTGATGCGTCTATTTGAAGAGTTAAAATCACCTCTTTTCTATATTATTACTATTAGTTATTCGTCACCTACCTAAATATTAGCATTTAATGCACCTAGTCGCTTGATCGACTGTACAACCAAACACAATTATTTTAGTTTTCGTAGAATCAATTATCACTTTAATAAAAGTTCCATTTCTTCTTATAACGCGGTCTCGAGTTATTACAATAAGTAATAATTTTTGTTATATAAGTATGCTGGTATTGTTCATTTAAAAATTTGTCCGATGTCCGCATGCTGAACCACCATCATAATAGACTTTAACAAACCCGTGTCAGCATCTTCCTGAAAAGTATCATATATATATACTTTATTTCCTATAGAAAAAGGCTATCGACCCAATAGGTCTTTCTGCCCTTGTGTAGTACATATGTGTCTTAGCCTAGCTTACTCTAAAACTAATTCCTATTCCTAACACTCGTATAAACCAATCAGTGATAAAAAAATAATATTAAAAAATTCTTGCCTTACGAAACAAACCGGTCTTAGTCTTTAGTTCAGTTGCGTTTGTAGGTGTTCTAGTAAAGTGTTTGTTGGGGTACGAAAACGGGAGTGTTTTGTGAAAAGTATCAATTACCTTATAATACGCCTTTGTAATTTTTTTTCAGTAAGGCATCCATCAAATGAAATCTAAAAGGTATAAAACTTTGAGCATATTCGCAATATATTGAACATTAGCCAATTCCAAGGACTCACTGCACTCGTGCTTCAGCTAGGAACTTCCTCGTGTGAATTATAATGATTAAGATTGCATAAAAATCCCTCAGTTTTAAATGTTTGTTGCCAGTACGTAATTTCGCATCTTTTCCGATTAAATTAGGTACATTGCGATCTTTCTTGTAACTGCAATAACAAAGTAAATAACCGTTTCATTATTTTCCCTTCCTTATTTTCCGCGAGCGAAAGATGAGGCATCGCTCTAAGAATCGCGGAAGTTTTGGAGGTGGGCAGAATTTGAGTTTCAGAGTTTGTGTTAAAACTACGCCACTCGGCGCTTTTACGAAAATTACCAAGCTTCAAACGGGAAGTTCTATGGAAATTCCAAGCATTTATTAAAAATGAAAAAGTAGTGAATGTTGACAAACAAACCTTTGATAATCTGGATACATCCGAAAATCAATACACTAGAAGCCCACCACATTATCGTCACTGTAACTAACTAGACAGTCAAAATGAAAACAATCAACCACTGGCAATAACTCTCAATTCATATTTTACACTTCTAGTACAATTTATGATATAACTTTTAATAGAGAAACCACTTTTCGCTGGCCATGCTTCAATGTGAGACTTGTGCCTCAGCGATTTCCTGTGCACTTACTATGTCAAATCCATTTTAAAGCATTTTAGGACAATGTTAAAATTAGAGAAAAATAGTCACTAAACGCACATGTATTAGCAAACGGCACTGTTCTAATTTGCGTTAGTCAGTGTTCAAGTTTCAGTCCATGAAGCTGCAAGAGCTTGAAACATCGATCTCACGCATTCAGTTTATCGTCATGTTTTGATGAAAACGCGAAACCGACCGACACAGTGATCCCAATGGGGTCGATTGACGACTGAAATCGGCGTACCAGGATCAGGACAGGACGTCTCCTGAATGATTCCCCCCACCGAAAAGCTCGGATTTTACTACAGGGCGCCGAATTTCAGCGACGACTTCGGCCGTTTCAGCCAAAGAGCTTGCGTTTCACTGCTTTTTCGGTTTTCAGGAGCGGCGCGGAAACTGTAACTAGATGGTCGAAGCCACATAAAATCTGAAAGATTTTCCCGGTTTGGGATCAGTTTTAACTGCTCTACTATCGCTTGGAGACAATCATCCTGCTTCAACATATTATTTTGCAAATGTGCATCTTAAACAGAAACCCATTAGAATGTTTTACCTTATTTCAGCGCACAAGGTTTATTTGCATTGTTTTGTTGAAATATTTATAATTTTAAAGAGTTAAAGATCTATGTCATATTTCAATTCATACAACCTTTGATAAAACGCCTTTCACATAAAATCTTAACAATAAATGGTAAATACCGAATATACAAAGACAAAGAAACGGGAATGTACAGGTATCGGTATCCATCATAAAAATATATAAACTGTTAGATAAGACTATAATCAAAATGCTTTTAATATTATCAATATAAGTTCAGCCACATATATTATGGACCACAGTGTACCACAAAGCCATATTGCTTAGGCAGCATAATTTTTGTTCATCACGAGAGCAACCTTTATAGTCAGTCATGGTCAGTCGTCGTCAAATCGCTGTTGATACAGAATCGTTTTCGTGTTCGGAAATCTACTTTTGTACTGTGGTGTCTTTATCATTTATCAATATACTTTTATTCATACATTAAGAGTGTGTCCACTTTATTTCACCAACATAAACATTTTCGGTGACTTAACAAATTTTACATGAAAGCTAATTTGCGATTTTCATATGTTCCGCTAGTTTATTATAGAGACGTAATACCAGTGATGTTTGTTCGTTATCGGGGGTAATTGCAAAAGTGCTTCAAAATTACCGATAATTTTCAAAGAAGACAGCTGAAAGACAACAAGCTCGAATGCAAAATTATCTGTTTATTTTGATGCACGAGTGTAATTTTAATGAATATATCCTGAGTAAACATGTGGATTCATTTTATTTCTATTATATTTTATTACCCTTTAAATTTTATTACTTATGTTTATTAAATTTAATTTGAATATCTTAGGTATGTCAGGAAGACATTTGATGTCTAATTCAACATGAAAAGACACCTGTCAAATATTTTTTGTAAACAATGCAATTATCGTTGAGTGATAATTGCACGCTGTGCAATTATCGCTGTAATTTTTCGATAATTGCACACTTCAAACGGACAGATTATCATACGAAGGAAATATTCCTGTTAATTGAGCCTTTATCTTCATTACCGTTTCACAACCGAGAGAAACTTTGTTGTATTCTCATGATGATAAAGTAAAAATATAAAAAAAATAAAATGGAGCTAGTGACTAAAACTTGTGTTTAATAACAATAATATTTAAGCCGAGGTATTATCGTAAATAAATTAGCAATAACAATTTTTATTGCTGTCGAAAGAGGCTTACGACTAAATCGGTCATTCTCCCTTACATTTGCATGTGTGTGGGACGTTGTTCTTTGATCAATTTCAAATTCTGGTGGCATTTGAAGTACAAGCCAGCAAAAGTACATTTTTTGCATCTTCATAAAAGAAATCCG